AAGGAAAGGCAAGGAAAGGACAGGGATCTGATACACTGTGAAACAAGTGCAGTTATTACTCTTAGTCCATAAGAAATTAAAAGAGAAGTAGAATCATAAGATCTATAAGGAGACAGTTGTGACTCTCTAATATGCATGCCTTTTGTGCCTTCTCAAGGCTGTCATCCCACATACATAACTAAAACTGTCCCTATGTCCTTTCTCTTAGCTGAGATACATTTTCATATCGAATCACAGCTCCCTGACTCAGGCCAGTTCTGTACTGCTGAAATCATCTGGGTTACTCAAGGAGAAAATGCTTTAGACTCTGGCAAATTTTCAGCAAATTTTCTCTACTTGAAAATGCATGAGGTTTGGTTCAAGAGATGGGAAATAGTCTGGACCAACTTTTATTTTCTGGAAATGAGTTTACTTATCCTTAGTTAAAAAAGGTAAGTCATCTCTTTCCTCCCTCAGATGATAAGCTTTAGAATGTGGTGAAAGTCAACTGCATAGCCACTAATGGCAGCATAATTAAATCTGCTTTTAGTAGGAGGTGGCAGACAAATGCATAGTATACAAAGTAGAGGCAGGCAAGAAATAAATTTAAATAGAGCACAAATTATTTCTTACTGCTTCATTCACGTGTTACCATAAGAACAGTTTTGTTTGTTTGTTTGTTTTTCTTTTAGCATTTTTTCTCTCAAAGCAGAAAATATCAGTAGAGTGCAGACCATGTAGATTTGCTTCTCTACAATAATTTCTGTGCTCTGGAGTGTGCTTGAGTATGTGCTACGTGAACCATGCTTCAAATCTGCCCATGGAGTCTGATACCACACAGGAACTGAAGCAGAGCTGTGCTTCCAATGAAGTCCTAATATGGGAATTTTATTATTGTAGTTAAAATGTAAATATATTCCATAACAAGCAGGCCTGTTAGCTTCTTGGCCAAGAATTCCTTGGGTGAGCAGTTGAATGATGACTTTATTTACAGCAGAAAATTAATTCTATTTTCCTCCCCTGTTCTTCTGGACTTTTCACTGGCAAGGCACAGGGAAACTCTAAATTTGACAGAAAATCAGATTTTGTCAGCTGCAGAAAATACCTCATGATCTTTTTTTCAGTATTAAGTTCTCTGTCACTTGGGAAAATGTCTTCCCTTTTTCTAAAACGTTTAGCCAGAAATTGCTACACAAGGACATTTTCCTTATTAGAGTGCAACAATCCTTAGAGAATTTTAATCACCAAGCCCTGTATTGGCAAGCTCTATTCTAGTGTTAACTTCATCCTCTGCAACAAAAATGCTCTGTGCACTCCTGGGAGCAGGAAGAAATGGTTGAAATCAGCCTAATTGTAGTCTGTAAATGCAGTGCCTAGCCTTTTTCAATTGTGGGTCTTAATAGGTGAATGTACTGAACAGCTAGGTGTAAAAGACACTAAGCTATAGCTAAATCCTCACCCAACACCAGTGAAATTTATAGGGAAAGGGAGAATGAAAAACATAATATAAAAAATCAGTGAAGCATCAGCAAGACAAATAGTAAAGTGGGGAGGATGCTGCTACAGAGAGCACTCACATGGTGCTAATCCATGGAACAGTTCCTGCAAGCAGAGTTGAGAAATGTTGATGGTACACACAGTTTTGCTAGAGTCCAACTACAGGATTCATATTTGCACGAGCAAATCCCTGCACACACAGCCATGGACATGATTGCTGTGCCTGAGGGAGGAACTCATAAAAGAGGGTGAAATCTAGAGACTATAATGTCTCCTAAGAGTGGGTTTCAGGGGAAATTTAGGGACTCAAGATTAAGAAAGTGCTGCAGAAATCTGTTTATCCAGCAATCACTTGGATATATTTGCATATTCAGTAGTAAAACTCCTGGGGCCCTTGGGAACATATAGAAACAAGCAGTCTACTCAGGCTGGTGCTAGATCCTGCTGAAGGTCTCCTGTGATGGGGAGAAGAATTGGACAGTCACCAAACTCCAACTCATTCCCAGGAGATCTGTGTCCAGTAAATGCCTTTTAAAATGCCTGAAGGCACTTTAAGTGGCTCAAGCCACAGCTGCCACAGCGTCCTTCATTCAGATGTGTCCTTGGAGGTAGGCCCCGCTCTCCATAGTAGCCTGGTGGTTACGGGATACACTATGCATGTGTGGAGCCTCAGGTTAATTCCTTTCTCAGCCCCAAAGCCTCATGCCCAAGGGAGAGCCTCAAAAAGCCAGAGTGTGTATGTTGGATGGGAAACTCTTGTCATGCCTCTTGGTGAAACTGGAGCACAGGCAGAGGTACAAGATTCATCAAGACTCTGTGGCAAACTCTATTCTTCTCCTATTCCTGCCAGGTACAAGGTGTTATTCCCATTGACCTTTTCTCAATAACTGTTTTTGCAGATTTAAAACTAATTAACATTTATTAGGAACCTGAATACCAGTTATAACTTACTGATCTTTGCTTTAACCCTCTCTGGCTGAGGAGGAAATGGAGCATGGGGTTTTGTGCTACTTGTTTTCTACTCTAACCTGCAGGAAACTACAAAAAATCAGTCAGACCTTCCACACTTCAGGAAGGTCTCTGTGAGCAGGACCCAAGCATTTACAACTCCAAGGCTAAATGCTTGGGTAAGGTGACTCCAGGAGGAGAGCGATCAAGTATCACCCCATATTTTGCAGTTTCCTCAGTAGCTCTCTGCTAAGAAAGTGAGACCCTTGAAGGAGCACAATGCTCACCAAGGACCGGTGGAAAGGCCTAGACATCTAAAGTCCATTGCAGGATCCTGCTGAGGCCAGGCACTGCAACCCTGGACTCAAGACATATGCAGAATATGTAGGTGTCCTTTGTACAGATAAGAAGGAAGAGATATCACATGGGAGAGAAGACAGAGTGGCTATTAGGAAAGGGGTGGTAGAAACCTCAAGTTGTAGATCCAGCACAGGTGGGATATTGAGCACTATTTATTGAAAGAGGAAATTAAAGGTGAGGCTAAAGGTGAGAGAGAAGACATTTTCTCTAACATTCATGCCATGTTTTGGGAATTCAAAGAGCATTTTTGTCCTGGAAGGGAAGGTCTTTAAATGAAGTTGGCTGAATGTCCATCTCCTCTTGAAGAAAACTGGATGAACCACAGAGCTGTGGAGGAAGACGCAAGGAGAAAACTTCTCACAAGAACATTGTTCAAAATCTGTGGAATACATGATAGTAAATGTGATATTGCTCATGATTTTTAAAAAAAGTAAGGCATGCCTCTTATCATCTGTTCTCCAAGCAGACAGAACCACTCATATTTTAGAAGCATTCATGAGAGCAACAGGCTTCAAAACCCCGAGTAAATTTTGTTCAGCTGACCACATTAAAAGGTTCTTTTTCTAAGGAGACCTATATGTAGAACCTCACACTGAAATATATTTAAGCAAGTTTAAAATCCCTGGTACCTCCACCTGGTTTTGTTCATTGTATTATTCTTTTAAGTTGTACTCATACAGAAACATGCAGAATAGTCCAGATCCATTCTAGTTCAGCATTTGTTATTGCAGAAATAAGCAGTGTTTTGCCCAGGTCATAAGGAAAGCTTGAGTGTTGTAATCAATGGATGGTTCAGGACATGTGGTCAGATTTTAAGAGGAAAAAGGTAAGACCTAGGTTCAAGCCTTGCTCCTCACAATGTTGAGCACAGACAGTACCTGTGGCCTGTGGGAAGATCATCTCTGCTTAATCACACTGACATCCACTTAAAACATGGAGTTTTAGAAAAGCATGAGACAACAAGAAAAGGAAATACTATTCTATTACTGAAGCTAAACAATTCTCTTTGCCACCAAAACTTCAACCTGTACACTTGTTCGCCTTGTTTATCTTCCTTACCGTCTCAAAGACCAGAACGACACGGCCGTCTCCAGAAAAATCACCTCGGGGACAGCACCAAAGAAAAACTGTTTAAGTCTGCCTTTTATACCTCATTTTATTTATATTACATATTGTTTTCCAAGCATTTCTTAATCTTATTGATTAAAACATTAGGGTATCTAATTATTATTGGCAACACAAATCACTCTGTTATATCAAACTTACATCAATACTTATTATCATGTTACTAACGGTTATACTATTATTATTACAATTTAACCTTGTACTCTAATTAATCAAAAACAATTTGAACAAACAACACAAATAATGTAACTCAACATTTCTTTGTTTTCCTTTCTCATAAACAAATAAGATCATTATTCACCTTCTGGGTAATGAAACTGCTTTTACGTGTCCATAACATCCAAAGTTCATCCTCCTTATTTAAAGTAAACTTCTCAGAACTATATCTGCATGAAATTATTCAGACTGAACTGCAGGGAAACAACTTTGGGATTATACTGAGAAATTTAGTCAATGCATACTTTGTTTATCCTATACCAATATCTAATTCTACTGATAGAACTGTTCTCAGTCTGCTGCATCCCCTTCACATGCAAAATCTAGTATTCAAATATACCCCAAAACTCTGTATGGCTTGCTAATACAGAAAGGAAGAGGGAGGAGTGAAACAAGGAAAGGAAGGGGAAGGGGAAGGGGAAGGGGAAGGGGAAGGGGAAGGGGAAGGGGAAGGGGAAGGGAAGGGGAAGGGGAAGGGGAAGGGGAAGGGGAAGGGGAAGGGGAAGGGAAGGGGAAGGGGAAGGGGAAGGGGAAGGGGAAGGGGAAGGGGAAGGGGAAGGGGAAGGGGAAGGGGAAGGGGAAGGGGAAGGGGAAGGGGAAGGGGAAGGGGAAGGGGAAGGGGAAGGGGAAGGGGAAGGGGAAGGGGAAGGGGAAGGGGAAGGGGAAGGGAAGGGGAAGGGGAAGGGGAAGGGGAAGGGGAAGGGGAAGGGGAAGGGGAAGGGAAGGGGAAGGGGAAGGGGAAGGGAAGGGAAGGGAAGGGAAGGGAAGGAAGGGAAGGGAAGGGAAGGGAAGGGAAGGGAAGGGAAGGGAAGGGAAGGGAAGGGAAGGGAAGGGAAGGGAAGGGAAGGGAAGGGAAGGGAAGGGAAGGGAAGGAAGGGAAGGGAAGGGAAGGAAGGGAAGGGAAGGGAAGGGAAGGGAAGGGAAGGGAAGGGAGAGAGAATGATGACATGGAAACTAGACAGCATATTCTGAGTCTAGGTCACCTAGTCCATGGGAGGATTGCTCTTGAAAAGTTTATGGGGCACGCTATATGAAATAGACAAGGCATCATCTATTTTCCCTGATCATTAGCTGCTTTTTAACCACACAGAATAAATGTCAGGCTAGACTCTGTTTACTAAATACCATTTGGGGTCTGTATGAGAATAAATTTGTCAGGGAATCTAATTTTCTTTTTGTGCATGTTAGAGAATGTACTGCAGTTGTACATAGTCTTTGTGTGTATAGGTTGAAGGTAACCTATGGAATATACCCTGACCCATGTTGTTAGAATTTTGTATGTGGGTGTAGGGACAATAAAAATTATAGGTGAAGTGAAGTGTAGACTTCCCCACAAAAGGTTCCTGTTCCTTGTAAATATATGTTTCTTTGTCTTTTTAAAAGAACAGAAAATAATCATCCTCAATTAAATTTCTTTTTTTCTTTCAAATATAATTTCTGATTTCCCCTTATCATTGTTATAATCAATAATTAAAATATGATTATCACCTGTTTTTATGTCATTAAACAGTAAGTTATTTTGAACATTAAGAGTATAAATTCATTCCCTATAACAACCTTAATTTATACATTAGCTTGATATTCCCCTCCATTTGCATATCCTAAAGCATGCACTCCCCACACATACATTTGCATCATGTTTTTCATCTACCCAGGTTCCATAAGGAACCCCCAAGCTTTTGTTTTTTACTTTTTTTTTTTAATGCTCAACACATCTATCTTGGTCTCTCCTCCTCACTGTCCTCCCAAATCATTTAACAACAGTGACACTTTTTCAGTCTGTCACGGTGAATTCAAGGTTGCCTGTAAGTCACAGCTGTGAGCAGCCCTCTTGACCAGATGTGCTGTGAGCTGGGTGCTGTTCTTAAAAATTTGATGGTGTGAGGAGCACCTACCTGCAAAAGGCAGATGGGCACCATGTGGCACCCACTCACACCTCTGCTTCTGTATTTTCATGGATGGGGGAAAAAAAGCCAGGCATTTAAAGGTTTCCTCTTGTATTGTTGGGCACTTAACCTTTTTGAAAAGTTGCCGCCTAGGAAAAAAATAAATTACACTTGGTGAATACTAGAGGCACAAAGAGTTTTATTATACACGATTACTATCAGCAATGATGGGTTTAAGATGATATTGTACGTGTATTTTCATAGATTACATTTCAGCAGGCTGGTATTCCCAATATCCTGTGTTGCTTAGATAAGAGAGCCAGTCAAGGAATGAATGTGATTAATTTCCAGGAAACCATGTTTTCCTTTCTTAATTATTATGTAGTTACATTCTATTTTATGTATTTCAAATAACAAATAAGAGCATTGAGTCAATACCAAGGTAACTATGGCCTAGAAACTTATTAACATACACCTAATACTGAATGGTTTACTAGGCTAGAGAGAAATTTTGAGAGCATTTCAACCCTTCCTGTGTCTGTCATCAGATACTAGGTCCTGCATAGCCATAGTCTACTTTAAAATACTCTTCAGCTGAAATACACAGAGGGATTGCCATTCATGTTAATTGATGCACAGTTAAAAGTTGGATCTTGTCGGCACTGCTTCTTTTTCACTATCTGCTTGCTCTTTCCAAGCTAAACATTTTTAATTTATATATTTAAACTTTGCTGAAATGCTCTAAAGTGGTCCTACCATTACTTCACATCTTCCAAACCAAATCAAACCAAACCAAACCAAAACAATCCAAGCCAAAACAATCCAAACCAAACCAAACTAAACCAGTCCAAACCAAACCAAAACCACAACAGTCATTGTGGCTATAATTTAAGCATATCCTATCTTGTATATATGCTATGTTTATATACATTCAATGGAAACTAAAAGAAGTAAGGTGGAGAAGCTTAAAATATGAAAACTTCTAAATACATACTTTTTTATTTTTTATTTTTTGTGCATAACAGCACAGCTGTCACTTAGAAAATGTGTCTGTGTGGAGCAGTAAAGGAGCAGGAGGAAAACCTGGTTGTGCAGCTTCATTTTCCAGACTCTAGAGGGATGCTGCCCAGGGCTGGCAGTGTTTGCATCCCTCTGCCATCACTTCTCTGCCACCATCAGCAGGCAGGGGAGGGACATGAAACCCAGTGGAGCAAGCAGGCAGCTTGAAGGTAAGGGTGCTGTGTAAGGGCTGCTTAAGCTGGGCAGGATTTTGCCCCGCAGTAGTTGCTGGGCAGCTGAGAGGGGTCCCTGGGCCTCCAGGGCAGGGCAGGAAGCTCTGACAGAGACAGGTGGTGAGGGAAGCGAAGTGATGGTGGGTCCTTCCAGAGCCTCCACATGGAAAAGCATTTTTACTCTGATGCTTTTCTCCTAAAATATGTTTTGCTCTAAGGAAGATCTTCAGTCACCAGTTACGACTTCTCTTGCAGCCAGAGAGAACGAAATTACCAAATGGAAGCCTAAATCAGATTCACCCTGATAACCATGTTTTATCCCAGGGAACTGCACCCTCAGAGCCTATTCACAGGGTGACCGGATCAGGTAATGCTGTTCTCAGAAAAAAATGTGATAGCTGAGGGGCAAAGACCATTGTGGTGTGCTAAAGAGGAAGCAATGGAAGTGATCACCTGCAAATTATAGCAATTAAGCTTGGGGATATGAGGAAAACCTATTTTGAAGAGTTTGAAGATGAACTTCTCATTGCCTGTGACTGCCAGAAAGGCTCCTGGGGGGAAGAGGCTCGTCCGTTTTACTTCTCCCAGCTAAATGGCCATATCAGTGTTCAGTCACTGGCTCAGAACGGAAACCCGGGCAGCTATCGTGGCAACTCTGCCAAGGAAAAGTGTGATGGGGCTGTGTCATCTTGCCCTTGAGCCTCCAAGGCTGACCAGCCAGAGCAACCAGGAGAAATACAAAACCCCTTTCATGCTATGAAGCTGGTGGGTGAGCTTTGTGTCAGACATCCAGGAGCATCTCTACAGCACATGACTCTCTACCTCTTCTTACTGGGTCCCTGTATTTCCATCCCAGCTTAGGTCTCTTTTTCCAGCCACACACTAAAAACACCCTTATTGTCTCAACTAGACTGTGAAAGAACCACAGTTTAGGTTTAAGTGCCTGTAATGCCCCATTGCCAAGCCTCCAGTGACCTCCAAAATTCTCAGAGGAAAACTAAGACATGACATGTTTCTGGTACGACTGAGTTGTCTTTACGCACCAGAAAGGGCACCAACACCATTAACATGAATGATGAAATGCCTTTACAAATCATTTTGTAAAACAATATCCACAAAACAAAGTGTGCTAACAAAACTACTCCAAACTGTGCTAAAATGACTCCCAGTGAGTGTTGTGGACATATATGGTCCACGAAACCACTTACAAGCTAAGCCTCTCTTAGCCCCATCCACAACAGATGGGTTTAAACAAAGCAGTCATTTATCTTGATTTTTACAGCCTTGGCAATCCAACGTAACTGCTGATGTCCACCGTGTCTGCAGCCCTCACTGGGAAAGATTAATAGGCCTCGTCAGATGCAAAGCAAAAAATTGTTCTTTCAAGACCTAATTATTTTGTTTAATTGTAAGCTTTCTATGGAATTTACTCTTAAAATCATAAAGAAATACCATGTAAAGTTCAGATCATTATAATTGCAGCAGGTGAAAGTAAAATACAAAGCAAGAACTCAAGAAGTTGCCCTTCAGCAAGTAGGCAGAGATCTCAGTGACATTTTCAGCAGCTTGAAATAGATGTTTTTGAAGCTTTAAAGGAACCGAATCCAGCCTGTGCTCCTAAACGTTATCACATTCAAGGGGGCACAGGTTTGCTCCGCAGTGCACAAAAGGTGCTCACTAGCCTGAAGCTGTGTTGATCTCAAGCATTCCATTAATAAATCACTTTATGAATAAATCACTGCATGTACAGCACACAAGAGACATCTCAAACTAGCGGGAGAATGAACAAACTGATCTAGCTGTTTTCCAGCTCTGAATTTATAGAATACCTAAATGATACAGTCTTCCTACATGCTGATAATCAACTTAACTTTCTGTAACAGTTTTCTTCCTGGGATCACGGCATGCCACTTGCACACAGGAATAGGGTTCCTACTAGACTGAATAGGTCTATTTTCAGAGTTTTGGATTATTATTTTTTTGTGTGTGTGAAATTAACAGTAGCCGTAACCATTCAGAGTTTGTTAGAAAACACCACAGCAACAAAACATCAGACAGTAATGTGACCCTGTCCAGTGAAAATTTGATTGAGTGTTTTCTGCTCTATCAACTTCACTTACTGCAGGGAAGGCAGAGAGGGTTAAGGCAATCTTAGGAACACAATCAATATTTCATTTCCTTGCAGCTAAATAACAGCCAAGATAAACACTTCTGATTAAGATGTTTATAGGACTGGTGCTTTTTTGCTTTACAAGCATATACTGAGGAATCCTCCCAAACTCCTGTGGGAATACTTACATATATTTGAATCATTTTATAGGCAGCATTTAAATACAGGAAGAAAGCCTGACATTAGGATTTCATCCACCTTTTGACATTTAACAAAAATCTGGACAAAATTTCACTGAAGCCAGCTAAGTTTTCAGCAAGTATTTAACTGGATCTCAAATAATTTCATATTTGTTTTATAGCAAACAGTGCATACAAAATTCATGATCCTTTTCAGAAAACAAGTGGACTTCTTGTGAAAATGTTGGGACTAGAATTCAGAAAATTCTGGTTTTTAGTCCCTATTTTAAGTTTCTGTCATAGACAATGGATTCTAACATATTCTTATATGCTACACAGCTAAAGGAATATGCAACAAGCCCCAAACTGGTTTTAGAAGTGGGTGGTATGCATAATGTTAATTGCTAATTATAGTGTGTTTGATGAGAACTAATTACTATTATTTATTTATTTATTTATTTTATTCAACTAGCTCTAAATGGTGTGCATTAAGGGAAGGTCTACAGAGAACTGAAAACTAGATTATTCTTCAAGACACATCTGGCAGAAAAGGGACCTGCGTTATTTAAAATCCTGAACCCTGACTACAAGATTCTGCTGCATCATCTAGTAAATCTGATCCCGTTTCTTCCAAACAGTGGAATTTAATTACAAAGGCTTATGAGTATATCATACACAATGATATAATCACAGATGGTAAGTCCATCAACAGCTTTATCTGAAAATTAACAACAGATAGTAAGGCACCCAGGGGAAAACAGCAGGCTTTTTGGTTTGCTAATGTATATGAGCTTTTCTAATACAACAAATGCTCTTCCATGATGTTAAACAATAACACAAATTGATTCAGGTCTGTGTAAATAATAATAGGTTGTAGTCTTAGATGTTCTACATCTCACTGACAGTGTTTTCAAAGGGTTATTTAGCACTTACCCATACAGCGTTCCGAAAAACAATGAAAAACATGTAATTAAAAATTCCACCTACTGATACACTTAAAATATTAGTTTGTTTTAGTATTTAATATTTAAATGTCAATAATCTGAAAATTAATCTAGAAAATCTTTTCCCAGATAGGTTTGAAAAAAACCTCTGGTCCAGTATAAAGCAGAGGTGTTCATTCTTCTGCATTATTATATGAATATTGGAGTTCAATGACAGAATTTTGCAGTAGTTTTATTCTGCTGTTAAAGGATATTTTAGATACTGCTGTTAAAGGATACTTTGTTTTAAAATAATAGTACCACCTAATAGTAAGCCATCTCTTCTGGTATAAGCACAGGGTATAAAATATGCCATTTTAAAATCAAAAGGTTAATTTCAGTTTTAGTACCTTATGAAAGCCTTTGCAAATAAAACACCAAGAAATGTGATGCAAATAAAAATGTACCTTTCAATCCCAGAAAAGAAAGATCTCATCAATGATATTATGAACTCTGTAAAATCACAGAAAAGAAGAACAGAAAAATGACATAATTCAAGAATTGGGAACACTCAGTAAAATTAATGGACAAGAGACAACCAAACAAACAAGAGACAACCAAACGGAAGTATTTTTCCCCAAGTCACAAATCATTAAACTGGATAACTTAATTTAGAAGCAATTTTGAAATCCAAAAATTCGAGTGACGTCAAAAAGAATCAGATGATAAAAGAAAAAAACATATCTGTCATCAGTAGAAACATGAGGATGCAGATAGAAACTGTGTTTCAGGGGTATCGTGAACTGCTGTGAAGCTTGGAGACTGCATGGGGATCTGTTGCCACTTTCTTAAAGCTTATCTCTGTATGTCCATTGCAGTCCATTATACTAATGAAGCTAACAGATTGGAAGGACCACTGGTTTAACATAACTGGGTGGAAGGACCACTGGTTTGAAATAATTGGGTGGCACAATTAATATGTGGTAAAAGACGCACCAACGTTAAGTGGAATGACTTCAGATCATGGGCTAGGTATTGCCAGCAGCTCATTCCTACTGTTTCCCTGCTAACAGTTTTGGAAAACTTACCTTCTCTCTTATGAATTGTATTTGTAGAGATTTTTTTTGCAGATAATGTTGGTAAACAACTGAATATAGAACAAATCCTTCCAAGGAGCAAGTCAGCCAGTGTGTTGACATATCTGAAATATCCAAACTGGCTGCAGAAAGGTGAGCCTCTGGTGCAGACATCAGATCTTCAGAAAGATCTCCACAGCCTGCAAAATGATCAAAGAAAAGCCTCTGTAGATTACTGGAGATTTTCTGGGTTTCGTGGGTGCACAGGCTGCACACTGAGGTGAAGGACACCATGGAGAAACTGGATGGGCTGAGTATGAACTCTCAGCTGTGATTCACATTTGAGGTTAATGGCTGTGGCATTATTCCGTTGAGCTAGAAACCCAAAAGGACAGTAAAAAACATTGGATAGAATCCTTCTTTATGAAATTATCTGAAGTCTGCCTGTAAGAGTGATTGCCCTGGAAATCATCTGAGAAAAAAAAAAAAATATTTCAAAGAGATTAAATGCTGACATATTGCCAGGAGTGGAAATATTTAAGATGGAAGGAAATTATTGTACATATGTAAGGCATACTTCAGAGCAGGGAGAAATGGGAGAGGCTGTGGCAATGGACTACAAAGATCTCATAGAAATGGTAAGTCCAACAAAAGTAATCTCTCTTAGAAGTATATGATGGCAATTATTTTAGCACAGTGAAATGAACAATAAAAAAGAAACACCTGACAAGGCAAATTACAGTATTCTAAGTGTAAATTAGGCACTAGACCAGTAGATGTGCAATTAGGCAATAAAAAAATATCACAAGTGGATTTTTATATTAATTGTTTCTGTCCATCTGCAGTGGCTTAAATATCCCCTGTAGCTTAAAGGGAGGTCAATGACACTTGTTAATCTATTTCTTCTACTGGGGAGCTCTGTGGGTATCTCTATCTGTCAAGTATCTATCATCCCTCTGTAATGCAGCCAATACTGGACTAAGGGGTCACCTTCCCCTTTTCCTTTCCTGCAAGGTGACTACACTTGTGGTGATGGAGTGTGGAGCAACCCCAGAGCCAAGGTAAATCTTTCCAGAAGGCTATGGACCAGGTCCTCAGCACTTAAACCAACCAGGAACTGCCCCAGTTGAGTTTAGTTTCTGTGAAAGCCTGTTCCAGGATATGGTCACTGTCTCCGAGGACAAGATTTCTTGTTAAAGCTTTGAAAAACACAAACACCTATATACCCCAGAAGGCAGGGGAAGAAATAACTGCACAAAAATGGGACTTGCAAGGGAGGGTAGGTTTGTAAGATACCTGAAACATGGTAAGGCTTATATAAGTAATACTCAGTAAATCCACTCAAACCCCAAACATTTTCCTTTCTAACCTTAGTTCTGTTCTCAGGTGTAAGATCGGCCAAGAAGCACAACTGTCTGCACTCATACTCCTTCTTTAAATCTGTCTTGTAGTCTAAAGCTATCTTGTTTGAAACTCCCTACATGGAATTCTCTGGATGGGCTAAATCCCAAATAAGAGCACGTGCCAAATACTTTGGGGTCTCTGACCCAAAATGCTTTGTAATATTTAAATTTTATTAACTATGGGTTGGAAAGATTGGTCAATTTTTAAAGTAGCACAAATGCAGCAAAAAATCATGTACTCATGCACATGTATCACAGGTTGGATCAGATATTTCAGAGACAACATCTCAATTAGTAGTCCTCAGCAGTACCAGACAAATCCTTATTTAGATTGTGATTTTAATATGGTATGGGAATTAATAATACTACACTGAAAGTATTCAGTGTTCACAAATACCATAATAGCTCCACAAAATAGAATGGAAAGAAAATTATAAATGAGAATTTGCAACAAATAAATGCAAATATGGAATCACTGTTCTCTTTTGTGGGCTCTAATTAGATGCTTACTTCAGGAAAGACGGCCAAACAATATTGCAGCCCATAAACAGAAAAGGTTAAATCAGCCTTTAGCTGAAGCTCTGGCCCATTAAACCTTTTTTGAGGCTGTGTAGTCCATGATTATGAGTAGAACTTAATGTATTTTTTAAAAACTATTTTTAAAATTATAAACAAACTTGAAACACTGAGAAATGTAAGCTAATAATGTTTATCCTTAAAAAGCCTGACTGTGGAGGCAAATCACTTGATGTTATAAAAAAATGTTCACTGCAAGTTTTTAATAGGTCTGTGGGTATTTAAAATCTAATTTAAAGGTGTCTTAATGTATTTTTTGTTCCTTCTTGCAAAATATTAATAAGAAACTACAGAACTGCTCAATTGCTTGAAAATACACAAGAACAAATGAAGACAATAAAATGCAGAAGATAAACTGCCAGTTTCCAAGCTTTCACTGAAAGGTAATACAAAAGATTTTATTTTACTTATTTCCTGAGGTCTAAACATGTTGCTTGTTCTTTTCTCATTACTTTCCCTTTCCTAGACAAATATGGTATTTCAGCCTCTCTCAGAAGGTGACGTTCCAGGAGCACAGGGACAACAGCTCTTCAAGCAGGTCTAAGAGTGGCATATTCTGTCACTCTGCTGCTGCTGCTAATCATACTGTATGATCAAGGCAATGACAATTCATCTGCCTTTATATCAAGTATTTGTATCATAACTCCCAACAAGTCTTTTTTCCACCTTTCTCCCTCCTTCATGTCATTTATTTCTATGCAATTTTCTCCTTATCTGTTTTCAAATTATTATTTTTATATGTAACATTGTCACTCCTGCAGAAATGGTACGTTGCCAGAGTACTCTTGCAAACACCTGGCAAATGTAGTCAGTAATCTGACTGCTGCCCATAGAAATATAAGGTTATAAGACTCACTTCAATCTTTGTTGACATCATAAAAGTGTTCTGTGCCTGTTATGTGGTGCAGAACTGTTTTTGTTACTAATTGTCTCAAAATGAACAGAAAAAAATGCATCAATCAGTATAGATCCATGGCAAAATCTTCACCTTCGGTTGTTCATACAGATTAATAATAGATATAGACCTGGCCCATTAAGGCCTCACCCTGCGAGCATTGATGTAACACATAAATAATTTCATGGGAGACTAGGTAACTACCTCCATGTTCACAATGTCTCTCAGGACTCAGGCATCAGAAATCAGCAGAATTTCTTCACCTTTTCTTGCTCAATACATCTCTCCAAGGAAAGTTCTTCTAAATGAGTTTACAATCAATGTAAGATATTTCAGACAAAAAATGATTGTACTGAACTCAGAGGAGAGTGCTGGTCCTATGATGCAAACATCCCGGTAAAGAAATAGGCTTTAATTACATAACTATCTTCTTACAGACACTTTATAAAATTTTATAAGGTTGTTTTGATGTAACTAAGGTACACAAGAGGTCTTGGTAATGTAATTGGTATGTAATTCTTTTTCTCATAACATACCCATACTCAAATAAAACAGTCTGTTTGTAACAATCCTTAATTTATTGCTTTACAGTTCTTCCAGTTAGTAAAGTTTTCCTTGACTTATACCATGTTAATCCATATTTCCAGCCCCTTCCACACTGAGTTTCCCAATCTCAGTAATTAGTACCTCTGAGACATCTCTCCATTTTCCAGCTGAGTATTTTAGACACTGACTTAAATTTTCTTTTCAAAGTTGTAGAGCTTTTGTTCATTAATAATAAATGATAGACACAGAAGAGGAAGAAAGCATACTTAAAATATTATGTATAACATGGGGTCAAAACTTTCCAATTGTTACTTTTCTGAGTTACCTTGAATTTTCATCTCTAAGTTGTAGTGCTTTAACTCATTTCTAGTAAATGTAGAAAGGTTTTTAAAAGCATCAGGTATAAGACTGAACATAAATGTTGTCAATATGCTCATGGAAATATTATTTAAATTCAAGAGAAAGTCTCAGATAGAGGGCATGATCTTGGATTTCTAGTCAGTCAAGAAAGAGTTTGGCATGCTGCAACCATTTGCAAAAACTACCACCCACCTTGCATAAAGCTGGATAGAGCATTAAAAGTGAGGGCAAGGGAAATGAACATTTTGCACTGCAACCAGGCTGCTAGGAAAGCAGCTTTATTTTAAATTCCCTATACCAACAGAAAGGTGACTATACTATCAAAGACATTTCCTAAAATAGCACCAAGGCACAATTTTGATAAGAAACACAGAAAAAAAACAGGTAATTTAAAATAAAATTAAAGGTAAATTTATTCATAAATACACAGACAAATGTGATTTTCCTTGTGGATGTACTTACTGAATATGATCATCAGTTCTTAATACTATTGTTTTGAGAATTTTTTCAATGACTGTCAGAATTAGTACTTCTCAGTCTCTGAAACTGAAAAAAAATATATTAAGCTTTAGCTGTCAAGCTTTGTAACTTAGTGCACAGAATACAAATCACTATCACCAAAGGAGTGGGGAGAAAAAAAAAAAAGAAAAAAAAACAGCCTTAATTATTCAGAGATTTAATATACTGAACTATCATTAACATTCAGGACTCCATCTTAAAGTAATTAAAATGCAGGAAGACTTAAGGGAGTGGAGGTCATTGAGAAAAACACCTACACAGGTGCATGAAGAAGGAGGCTGGCTGGAAGAGAGAAGCAAGACATTATAAAGAGGAAGACTAATGCTTGTTGACTCACAGGTCCAAAAACATCCTCAGTAAGCTTTGATTAAGGACACATAAGATATTTACATGTTTTTATAAGGTGCATTTTATCTGAGTGCTTTGTAAATAAGCTTTCTGACACATCACGAGCACTTGGGGGCTAGTTTTCAGTATTGTGGTGTTTTGGTTGTTTATTTCATTTTATTTATTTATTTATCTATCTATTTATTTATTTATTTATGTTTGTGTAAATCCCTTATTTTAAAGCTCTCTGCATGGTGTTTAACCTTGAACAGTGTGTATGTTGCCTTAAGTACCCCAGAATCAAGGTTGTCTAACAGCGAACTGTGCTTGGTAGAGCTGGTTGACAACCAGGGTAAGCTATTAATGTAAAAATGGCTCTTTTGTGTGTGTGTGTACGCATTTGTTTCCCCCCCCCGGTAAAATCAGACAAGATACCTAACTCCTTTAGCTGAGGCACATGCAAAGGGGTGGCCTCATCCAATGCTTCCTCCTCTGGGAGGTCCTCTCAGACACAGAGAAAAGTCCTCAGCCACAGCCCCATTTCTGCAGTGGCTAACTCACAGGCCTTCTCCTAATTTAATCCAAATACTAAGCTTTTCTTTACAGGAACTCCCCACCCCCTGAAAAAGTCTCAGACATTATTCTCCATCCCCTTGATGCTGTTAAATTGATGATGACACTAGAGCAGGGCAGATTCACACCAACGCACAGACCTCAAAGGGCACAAATGCTGTGGATTTCAATCTGATATCTTTTTTTTTTTTTTTAACTGAATTTCAAATGCAGTTTACTCAGGACTAGAATGTCATTTTATGGTCCTCTGACTCTCATCAGTTGAAATGAACATTTGGATAAATGAGAAATTATTTTCTTGCAAGACTGTTTTCCTGATATTAAAGCAATGTATTTTTTTCAGCTAAGAAAGCCAAAAAACATTAAGCAGCTTATGAGCCAGGGACAGAGTTAGTGTGCACATTTACCCCAACCTTGTATTACATGGTTTTGACATCTGAAAGAACAATGTCAAGCAAAATGATCAGTACGCAAAAAGGCTATTAATGATAGTCCCACAAAATCTACCATTGTTTTTCTCTACATTCAATCTGTTTCTGTTTTAGAAAGTATTGAAGTAGGTAAATCATCAGTATATAAAGAAAAAAACAGTCTTCTGATTAAGATAGTTCATTTGCATTTCAATTTGAGTCTTGCTGCTGTTTTTTTTCTTGTGTCCTACTGCCTCAACTTAATTTGCCTGTTTCTCATTTTTCCCTTCTTTAAAATGGGGAGTGTCATAACTGTAGCCTATGTTTTGCCTTTTTGAACTGGATGTTTTCAAATCACAAGTATAAATTGGAAGCTGTTAGGGAGCTTTTTCTCTGAAAAACACTATGGATCCTCAATAGCTGAAAAGTTAGGTTTCCTTGTTTAGCGTTCCCTATCTCCACAGCTGCTGGAGCTTTTTTCTTTTGCTTTTTTTTTTTTTTTATATATATATCAAATGTTTATATTTTGTTATTCAAAGTCTTCAAGTGAATTTTCAAGTGAATTGAATGTGAGCTTTAGATTTAAGCATCAAACTCTGTATTCATTGCATGTAGCCAGGAGAGAAAACACTTAGCAAAACCTCACAGGATTTGCTCGGGTTCAGGAGAAGCAGCAGATTTTGTCAGGAGGCTGAAGACACCTAGGAAAGATGAAGTGCAGCAACAGGAAATGTTATGAGGTGTTGACGGAAATTGTTAGGGTTAGTGCTGGAAAAGGCAGAAACTAGTGTTGGTCTGAATAAGGTCCCAGCAGGAAATGACTTCCTACTTCCCAAATTAACCCCATGGCACTCCTGAAAACCAGGCATTTGCCCATGACACACCATTGAGCAGCAGAGACAGGATACTGACTGCCTTTATCTTCTCACAGAAGGGTTTCTGGGAGCCCAGGCAGTTTCTGAGTTATCGTGTGCCAGCAGAGCAGACCTATTCTGTGATGTTGAAAAGGTCTCCCTTGTACAGTCTCACCACCAAAGAAGAGTGCCAGGTATTTGTAGCTTGTATTAATTTCTGTTGCAAGCACAACATAGCTAAAACCAACTAGTGAAATGGAACTTGAAAGTGTATGTCACCTAGATATGGGGGATCTAGGTGTGAAGGCGACTAAATCTGTCATTAGCTGGGGTCCCCCAGGACCATGCCTGCACTGGTATGGGACTGTGCCCAGCCGGTTAAGCTTGACTTTTAGAAACATAGCACCTCTCTATTCTTGCTCTTATGGACTTTTTATTGCAGCAGACAGCACTTCTCACTAAGGAATTCACAATAGTCTGTTGTGGGTTTTTGTTTTGTTTTGTTTTTAAACTAAAAAGTTACAAAGGAAAACTGCACCATCACCCCTGGTCTTTCTCTCTTGGAGCATCACAAGGACATATCAGCTTCCTACTGTTTTGTCAGTATCTGCATGTGAACTGTAAGTAGAAATGTACAGAAGGCACTGAATCAAGTACCTGTCTAGGTACTCGGTATGGATTTCATGTTAGCATGTCAGTTATACAAACAACATACAGTGCTCCTTTTCCTTCCCTTACTGCAGCACTGCCTCCAGAGGGATGGAGAATCAGCTAGATCACACAAAGGGGCAAAAGAGAAGCAAAGCTGCTTACTCAAGGGCTCACAGCCATCTGGGCATGAAATATGTTCAGCTTAATAAATTCAGATTGGTACCCCATGCAGCAACCTGTCTTCGAGTGTATGTGGGCAAACAAAAGGGTATGTTTTTCTATCAGTGCTGGCTTTGTGTACCATGAAGGCTCAGCCCATGTGTTGCTGATACCACACGACAAATGCTGTGCAGTGACTTCCAACCTCAGCCAAGCCAGGCATTTCCCATGGCACTGCATTGCTCTGCAAGGGCACATCAGCCTGGACCTTGAAGCCGCATAGTTGGAAATTACTGGGCTGGTGCCTCTAGCTCAGTCCAGCAGTGCAGCACAGGACAGCTGCTTTTGATCACTGGCTGGCTCCACGCAGCAGCAGTTCAAGTGTCTCTGTGCTGTGGTTGCCAGCACCCTCCTTACAAAGGTTACCACATTTGGTATTTGAAATACTCGCTGTTACTCTGTCTTCCATGCTCTGATGTCAAGTGTGGTATTAGAAAACGCAAAACAAAACATGCGTTCAAAAGAGGATCCAAAAATATTGCTTCTCAGCCAAGGACAATTTTGAGCATGCAGTCCCAGTGAAATGCCCACATTGGTTATTTTAGGGTTGTGTTCCTTTCTTAAATCCTTTACACTTCCATACAAAAAGCCTTTTTGCTAGCAGCCTCTGGTGCCAATTCTGCTGCAAGCTGGAACACGACCTTTACAAAAGATAAACAGAAGCAGAGCAAGAACTGCCAAGCAGTCCGGCAGCATTAATACCTCTCTATGAGATACAAACTTTAATGCTGATTTATGCAGTTGTAGATCAAAAGGAGATGTACCCACACTTAGACTATTCAAGTGTGGCAATTACTTACAGATCTCAAAATGGAGCTTTTCCTAAAGCCAAGCTGATATATCCTTTTCCTTGCTGTGAGGAAGCTTTGTTGAAGACAGCCAGGGTCATCTTGCAGAAAATGAGTGCTTTTAGCAAGCGAAGGTTGAGTTTAAAGCTCTCACCCCTGCACACAGTGACTAATATTTCACTTCGGAGGTGGCCTCACAACTGTACAAGGGCTCTAGAAGTGTGCTACCCATCAGTTTTATTAGTGCTATTGTATTTTATGAGAGTCCATTTTTTCCACACCTGAGTGGGCTTTTAAAAGTACACAGGCCAATGGAAGTCTCTTTTGTTACAAACAGTAGGCAACTTCACTAGGAGAGCATCAGCTTTGGCAATAAACAGCGTGGTTTCTTTGGGGTCCCTGGCAGCTAAAATATCTGCACTCTAATATAAACAGCTTAGGAGCCTAATACTTCTCCTTTGTAACACAGAAGTGGAACATTGATTTCAGCAGGGAGCGTGACAAATTTCACAGTCGCTCCAGTTAATACATTTGTCTTATACTCCTGGTGTTCACACCACAGGATAAACAGAGGCTTTAAATCAATTAGTGAATGTTTGTAAAGTTCCTTACAATCTAAAAAGCTAAGTGCAAGCTATTATTACCTTCTTGTTATAATTTTGCTATCATTAATCATTCTGCTTTTTAGGGGGAGGACAGCTGACAAACTCCTTAAAATTTCATTCATTTATATTAATCAGAGCCATTATGCAAACCTTTTCCAGAGTGAATATATTAAATACTGCCAAAAGCTAATTGTTACATTATGCATATTATTACTCCTTTTTGACCCAGTTGATTAACCAAGCTATGGGGTCTTCTGCGTTATTTCTCTCAGGCAACAAAATGGATCGTGGTGTCAAGTGCCCTGGAAGCAATGTGTGCAGTACGGAGCTTTCCTGCACACAAGGGCAACCCAATAAAAGGTATTTATTCACTCACAGCTACCGTCTGCTACCCAGGCTCAGCACAGAAAACTCTTGCTGCACTTTTTTTCTCTACAGTGCTGTCTATGCTGTTTCATAGCATGTCCAGTGTTGTCTCGACATTTTTCCCCGCATTTCAGTTGTTCCTCTTTTCCTCCTCATTTAAATGTCAGCCCAGAGCCAGACATTGTCCTCTACCATGCTATTTCCTATGACACACATTCTGTGCGTGTTTCTGTTCAGGCCAATACCTGGCTTTCACTTAAGCAATTTTTCTTCCAGAATTTCTTACTTTAATGAAAAGGCTCATGCAGAACCACATCAAAGCTCTGGGAATCCTCACCTCAGATCAGTATTTACAGAGTGGTCTGGGGATGAATTTTGCAAGACATTTGTATTCAGAAAAACTGAACAGGCACAGCACAGGACTTGGCCAGAATATAATAACTACACTGTATTTATCTTAATGCCTATGCTCAGTCTGTCCTAGATGACCAGCTGTGAAAGGACTTCCATGAAAGAAATGGAACAGTGCCTTTTCCGTGAAAGCAGTATGTAAACAGAAGCTGAGGAAAAGGTGGGAGGAAGCGAGTCTGGTGTGTGAGAAGAATGGATGTTTTTGTCCTCTTTGCAGGCTGCATCTGAAAGGCAGTGGCAAGAAAGAGCTTAGATGAAAACGTCAGCCTGCACAACACTAAAGACAAAACCTGGCATCAATATATTATTGACTGTGATGGGGAAGAGGTAAGCTCCTTCCTCTCTCCACTTTTTCAAAATTGGAAGGAAATCCTGTTGAATGACCAGGGCAGAGGCACACCAGCTTCAGTTTGTCTGGCACTGGTTTTGACTTGAAATTACCAAATAGCATGCAGGATATACTCGAAGCAATGTATGTTATTCTTGAATATCCTCCCATCACCTCTCCCACCTCCACTTCTTCATACTCAAAATAATAACTTTATGGATCACTGTTATTATATTACAATCCCCTAAAATCATATTGGCAGACTAGATTGATCTGTTTGTATATTTTCCTTAGTCTCAGAAAGCTGTTTTATAACATATAACAGGAAAATATGGAGAGCTCTTTTGCTATTTTTCCTAGTTTCAGTTATGACATTCTCATTTTAGTGGCTCTCCTGACTGTAGATGGTGCTAGTTGGCTGCACAAAAGTATGGTATGTAATTTTTAAAGAAAATAATATCTTTTGACCCCTATTTTCTTTTGGTGTTGATGTAGGACATAACTGAGAATTTTTAGCTCCCTTCTGGAAAGTCTTAATGGTATCCCAGTGACAGTGTACTGCCATGTACAATACCAAAACACTAAATCTCTCCATATGGAAATGGAAAAGGCTCTGCCAAAACAGGAACGGAGCATCTTAATGTCTTTTTCTTTGTCTTTTTTGAACTGCTTGGGTTTTTGCTGGAGACAACTGATGGAGACCTCCTTTGATGAAAGCATAATGATGACATAATCATCGCATTTTTCTCCTTTTCTTTGTGCTGTATTAACCTATGGCAATAATTTTGGTAAAGAAGGTGGTTTTGCAAGCTGCTCTGAACAGAAAGCTAATACAGCATCTGGTAATTTCCTTTGTAAATTTAGTCTGTATCTCAAAAATAGTGTCTGGAATTCAAACTCCTTGTGCTGGGATCTGGGAACTGGCCAGGTAAAGTCATGAATGATGATGAGACCAGTAAAATAACTTCACCCAGAGCAGTGACAAATAGTGTCAGAAACTGGAACTAAGATTTTGAAATGACTGAGAAAATGGATGAAAAAAAATCGATCCTCAGAATAAAGTAGTAACACTGAGCCATGCCACAGAGAAGGTGAACATTTTCTTTCTGCATGTTAGTGCAATAGTCGCCTACAGGAGATGTTTTTGCCTGTGTACATAGTAGTCTTACCATGTACCATCTTATCTTATTAATAAGAAAGGAGTTTTGGCAGTGAGAGGTCTAATGAATTAAATCCTTGCTGGGGTACATAGAGGAAAGAGATTTACACTTGTGGACAGTGTTTGTTTTTCATTCATAAGGGTATAGGACGGTCAGCTTTGTGACATGATAATTTGTTAGAGCTGGAATGTGCTTTGACTAAGTGGAAAGAAAGTTACTTTAATTCTTAAAGTGGGTAAGACATTTAATGAGACAAGTTGCTTTCTTTTGAAAATATTTGATATATGTGTAAGATATTTGATATATGTGTAAGATAATGCTATCATAAGGTATATGCAAATGAAATTAAATGAAAACAACACAGGACACAAAATTTATTGCAAGATGATATATATCATCTCTAGCTAATTAATAAACATGTAAATTAGACAAGCTGAGATAAAGAATGTGTCAATCACTTTTTGGAATGATTCCTCTAGGTGATGTCATCATGGCTACCATTTGTCTCGTTTCCATCACACAGAGGCTGTAATTATGGAGAAGCTTGCCTGCTTTGGTAAAGATGTCTTGGATCTTAGCAGTAAAGATAGTTATTCCAGATTTTGTTTGACTTTTTAAAGGAACAAATCTTACACAAACTACAAACTTCATAAATTAGAAACTTCACTAAACAACAGGATCAAGACATGACAACACAGAAGATGAAGTAAATTTTGGAGGGAAAAAAAAAAAAAGAAAAAGAAAAAAGTATTGTTTACATCTGACTCATAAGTTAAATATAAAGTTCATCATCTTGAGAAGGAAGTAGTAAGTACTTTCTGTGGGAGAAAAAGGCAATCCTTCAAAATAATGCTTCCTGTTTATCAGATTCATTTCCATACTGCTTAGACCAAGGGAGATACCTACATCTGAGTGCCAGTCTCTTCTTAGAATGAGAACAGCTTTGTATAATAACACACCAAAAAAGGAAACAGTGGTACCTAGCTGTATCAGCAGCCAATCCCCATGAGCAGAACTGACCTTGTCTCGTCACCCACCTGAATAGTCTCAAATGGACACAGAGTTGTAAGGGTTCAAGGTGTAGAG